ACTAGTGTTTTGCTTTTTTTTTTTTTTTTTTTTAAGATTTATTTATGGGGTATAAGCAAGGAGTGTGAGGGGTGAGAGGATTCACCAGAGACAGATCAGGGAACAGAGCAGGCAGACTGACTGAAACACACTGCTGAGGGGAGCAGCAGGCAAGCCAGGAGAGGTCTGCTGCACCATGTGGGCAGCTCCCTGGCCAGGAATCGAACTCATGCTGCGGTGGCTGTGGATAGCTTAATAGGCTGCATCTTAACCCCTTGTGCCACCAGGGGGGCCCCCTTGCTAGTGTTTTGACAATATATGATTTCCTCTCTGGTGTATTTACTGTAGCACTTCCACCACTGAAACACCCATTGTCCTCCACTGTAGTCCATTGTGCTCTTCCCTCCTCTTCATCCCCAGTTCCTCACTCCTTCCCCAAAAGATCTATGGTCTGCTTTCATTGGTTGGTTTTAAAGTTTGCCTTTGTCTAACTATGTTTAGTTTTTCTATACTCCACATATAAATGGCACTGTTTGGTGTTTGTCTTTCTCCTTCTGGCTTATTTCACATAGCATAATCCTTTCCAGCTCCATCCATGTTACTGCAAATGGCATGAGTTTGTCTTTGATTGCTGAGTAGTATTCTACTGTGTGTAGCACATCTTCTTGATCTATTCATCAGCTTTTGGGCACTTAGGTTGGTTTCCATATGCTGTTATAGTGTTGCTATGAACAAAGGAGTGCAGATTTCCTTTTGGATTAGTGTTTTTGTATTTTTTTGTGTAGATACGTAGGAATGGAATTGCTGGGTTGTTTGGCCAATCCATTTTTAGTGTTTTGAGAAACCTCCACCCGGCTTTCCATAGGGACTGGACCAGTCTACATTCCCACCAACCATGTGAAAGGGTCCCTTTTTTCTCCAGCACTTGTTGTATCTGGTCATTTTGATATGGGTTATTTCCACTGCTGTGAAGTGATATGTCATTGTGGCTTTGATTTGCATTTCCCTAATGATAAGCGATGATGAACATTTTTTTATCTGCCTATTGGTCACCTGTATGTCTCCTTTGAGTAAGTGCCTAGTTTGCTTTCTGACCCGCTCCATTTTTTTTTTTTTTAAGGTATAATTTACTTGAGGTTCTCCCTGTTGATCCAAACCTATTTCTAATGTTACTTCCCACTGTTTCCCAGTACATACCCTCTGCTTTAACCAGACACATCTCAGGGTCTCCTAACCAGCCATATGTTCCAGCCTCTATAGCTTAGCTTATGCCATTTTGTCTGTGAATGATACTCTCTCAAGGGGCATTGCCCGCCCCTTGTTTCTGCCTATCTCAACCTTGCTCATCCATTAAGATCCAGCACAAAGGAGGCCTTCAGGAAACTTTTTTCTATTTTAGCCCATTAGAATCTCATTCCTCTTCTGAATTCTTTACACCTTCACCATTGTCCTCATGCTTTTATGTTGTATACTTTGTTTTAGTTGGTCTTTGATTTTATAAACAATTTCATCATCTTTAGGTGACCAGAAACCCCTTTAAGGCAGTATCTGGATATTATAATTGTTTGATACAATAGCTGCTAAATTATTACTTGTTGAAAGAATAAACTGGTAAATTTGGAAGCCAGAGATAGACTTCATTTACTTTATCATTTTTTTAAAGGAATAATCATTCTCTTCAGGTAGGTGGATATCCAGGAAGTTATCACTTGTAACTGATATATTCTCATAGTTCGGTCACGCTTTGTCTAAGTACTTACTTATGCCTATAATGTACAGGCATATGCTAGGCACTGGGGTTGCAGAGATAAAGACACTGACCATGTAAGAATGCACTATTTAGGTGAGAGTTAGAGATACCAAAAATTAGATACAGAGAATTGCAACTTAGTGCTGTAAATATTGTTAAAATAGGAATTCAGTGGAGCTTAGGAAGTGATTAACTCAGGGCAGAGGGAGATGGGGAGAGACTCAGTGATTTTGCTAGGGAGAAAAGAGCTACAGGGATGAAAGGAGGGAATGGGAAACAGGCAGCAGGACTGTGTATGTAAAAGCACAAAACAGATTATTAGTGCTTTGGTGAAGCAGAATAGAAGTGAAAAGTTTAATATGGCCAATACAATTGCAAGCTCTAATAGATTAGAGGGACGTATGTAGGGTGGAACCAGTTGTAAAAAAGAAAGCCTTATGTATTATGCTAAGGAGTACTGACCTCTTTTAAGCATGAGGAAACCATAGGTAATGTTTAAGCAAGGATGTATTGGGTTGTCAGAAAAGCCATCATATATTTTTCTTTGCAAAAATGCAGACTTTTCCGACAACCCAGTAGTATGACTACACTTATACAGTGGTGACTTTGTATAGAGGACAGATTAGAATATGATGCAATGGGAATTTTAGACTTCCTAATTGTCCAAGAGGAATCAGTGACAAGGGGTTAAGAATGGAGACCTGTCTAACCTCTAGTATTGTCCTTTAGTTGGTAATTGACTGGAAGTGTGAAACAAAGAAGACATTCTGCAGAAGGTTTTCAAAGTTTTTATCCTGCTTGCCCTATGCTACCCTGAACCTCAGCCCCCCCACCCCCACCATATACATGCACTCTACCCATGGCAAAATTTACTAGCTATCCATGTCCACATTCATCCTCTTATGCAATAATCATTACCTGAGTCCCTACTATGTGAGGTCTTTCTATTTTTCTGATCTTTGCTGTGGTCTGTGATCCATGGGCCAAATCAAGCCCATACCTGCTTTTTATAAAGTTTATTGGAACAAAGACATACTCATTTATATATTTATATATTGTCTGTTGCTGGTTTCTCTTTACAATGGCATAATTGAATAGTTGTGGCAAAAACCATAGGGCCTGCAACCTTGAAGTATCTATTATATGGCAGTTTACAGCAAGATGATTGCCAATTCTTGCTAGTAGGAAGAAGGAGAAAGGAGAAAAAAATTATGGTAGTTTTAATTGTAATATTATGGTAGTTTAATTGTAAAATTATTTTAATTGTAAAATTATGGTAGTTTAATTGTAATAGTTTCTAACATGACTTAGGAATCTAAAGAAATCACCTTACTGGTGAATGAAAAATTTTTAAAACTAAGTTGTCTTTACTAGTTGTTACTTTTCAGTGATGTTGATTCAAAAGGAGGAGGTAGGTATAATTAGTCAGGGAAAGCTGCTGTGGAATTGTCTCAATGAATTGCTTGGTTGTTGGTAGTCACAATATTAAAATGATAAAAAAGATAGGGGTTTAAAACTGGCTTTGCTGACCTAGATGCAAAACCACTGAAGCTAGAGAGCTTTATAGTGGTCATTTGAAATAAAAAGGAAAGAAAAACCTCAGAGCAATATAAAGATGAGATGTAGGCTTAAAGAAGTAGGCTACTGTGGCAGTGAATTGCAGGCTTTGAGGCCAGATAATCAAGGATAATAAGGATTCATAGATACAGATCAAGGTACACCAGATTCAGGACCTATCCCCTGCATGCTCTTCATATTATTCTAGTGGTTGGATTATTGAGTAGCCAAAAGGATGGTGGAAGGGGATATGACTTACATAGGTAAGATTTAAGGTTGTGGTTGATGAACTGATTGAGTAGACTATTTCCCTTCTTTTGTTCAGGAGCTATAGCAGGAAAGTCCTCTTTAATATAAATTGGTGAGAAAAGTGTGTGGATTCTGTTGTGAAAACTTTTCTCTCCTTCAGGTTATCCTACCTACAAAGAAAAAGTAAAGAAAAGGCCTGGGGGCCGACCAGAAGTGATTTACAACTATGTCCAAAGGCCTTTTATTCGAATGTCCTGGGAAAAGGAAGAAGGAAAGAGTCGACACGTAGACTTTCAGTGTGTAAAGAGCAAATCCATCACCAACCTGGCAGCAGCTGCTGCAGACATTCCCCAGGACCAACTGGTAGTCATGCACCCGACTCCACAAGTGGATGAGCTGGATATTCTCCCCATTCATCCCCCTTCTGGCAGCAATGACCTTGATCCTGATGCACAGAATCCAATGCTGTGATGATGTTTCTTGAAACCATAGCATGCTACTATTCACGGTGACGTTGCACTCTCCTCATTCTGCACTGCAAGGCCACTCTTTTCATTGTGAGATGCACATAACAATGTTTAGGATGTTGCAGTGTAGGCTTTTTTAAAGACCAAAGGTAGCTGAATGGTTTTTTAAATGAGTACAACTCTAGCATCCTGAGGTTCCAATTATATAAATGTATTTGTTTACCAGTAGGTTTGTGAAATTGGGTCTTTGTATGGGGGACAGTCCTTTTTCACATGTCTAGACCTTTTCAGAAATTGTGGAAATTGGCAGCTGGGGTACTTTCAGTTTAGGTGTTTGTCACACCCCAGGTAAAATGCAGATTCTATTAGTTGCACTTTATGAATGGTGGTTAAATGGAATTGTTGAAGCCATTTTTATAGTTGTGATGCACAATATGTAACTAAAGTGCTATCAAAGTACTCCTTCAGTAAAAAGTATAGTTTGCTGCCCATGATGCGCAAAAGTGAATGTCATTGGGCTTATTTGAATGCTTATGACAAGATTCAACTACCCATATCTTATTTATCTCAGTGCCATTTTCACCCTTTGAGTACACATGCAGGGAGTATGAACATTCAGAGAGGGTTTATTCAGTCGGCCTTATCCTTAATCTGTTAACGTATTTATTTACTAATTTTTATTTTCCTTGAAGAGTTATGGGATAGCAAAATGAAGTGTTTGTTCTTCATTTACTAAATGATTGTAAACTCAAGTTTTTCATCAAAATAAACTTCCATTGTTTTAAACTTTCTGATCAACTTTATAATCACTTTGACCAGAGCGTGTCATAATTAGGTTTCTTTCCCTAGTGGTATGAAGGAAAGTAGAAACCAACTAGTAGTTTATAAAGGCCAAACGATTCTATAAATGTCATTTGGTTTGTCCTTCCACCACTGTAAAACACTTAAGATCCAGACACATAGCTTGTAGGGTTTTTCTATTTCAAATGTGAACGTTATTTATAGAACAAGGGAAACATTTATTAAAAATATTAACTGTCTAATACATTATACTTTAACCCATATTTATAGTAAAGGATTCTTACAAGGAAGAATAAACGGCTTTATGATACAATTAATATAAGAAATATCCACATGGGACTTCTTTGTAGTGTAAAAACACCATACATCTGAAATGACCATTTGCATATAAAAGCTACCAATGATGCTTCTGTGCACAATGATTAAAAAATTCAACACAAACAGAATCCAAAATATACAATTAATGCAAGCTATCCACAGCTAGCCCAATAATCATATGATGAAGAAACACTGGAGCAGGCTTAGGTCCACTTTGTCTGAAGTTACACATGGTAAGATTGACTTGTATCAATGGCTCTGAAATGGCTTTTATGAAGACAGTACATAAAAGCTGGTCTCTCCTTATCCAGTAAACTTCATAGTCTGTAAAACTTCACCAGTAATGCACTTTGATCCTTACCTGTTGTCAAAGCAACACGTAGTGTTTACAATGGCCATGGCAAGTCACTAAAGTCAACAGGGCCACCCAGCCCAGCATCTGCTTCCAAGAGGCTCATTATGACAGCCATTGCTGCCTCATCATTACTGGGGCTACTTGAGCCTTGATCGTTGTCTATCATGTCTATGCCTATGTGAGGGTTCTCACCTGTGGGAGGAGATAAAGACCAGTCAGTGATCACACCAAAGCGCGTGTAACTTTCAGGAACAATCCTGAAGCACACCAAGAAAGTTAATAGTGTGAGAAAGCCTTTTTGGGCTGCACTGCCATAATATTTGGCATTTTTCAGAGGGAAAAGCCAATATTTTAGAAATAAAATGCTTAAAATTCAATAAATGTTAAAATTCAAACATAAAAGGCATTTCAGGTGATCGCATTTTAAGTCTATAAGCAGAAGGATAAACTGGAAGGTAAAAATCAGGAAAAGAATCTGAAAAGAGAAGTTGGGTGGGATAAGAGCAAACTTCCCATCCTTCAATGATTGAATACCCTCGAACTGCTTATTGACCACCTTTATATATCAACTTTCACTGGTTCTCCCCTGAAGAGATTATGTTCCGTACAGTAGGAAAAAGCCTGTGTCTAGACTATTCTCTTGAATTCCATGGACAAATTTGGACCCCCACCTGAACTCTTTAAAGATTTAAACAAATATTAAGCAAATTTTAAACCTTCACTTTGTTCTTATCAACTTAGCTAAAACTAGTTCATACAATTCAGTTAAAACTATGCCAGATGCTTACTGCAATGAAATAATGTCACGTACCAAGAATAGAAGAACTATCCGAATATGGATAGCCTGGGTTCTCTGGAGCCTGCCCTGGTAGTAGGCCACTGGAAGGAATGTCTGGTGTCCCTCCATTTAAAATCTACAAACAAAAGAAGTTTTCACAGGAGGTTCAATCAGTTGTATTCATCATATGCGCAATGACTTCAGTTTCCTATGGAATGAATTCAAATAGTTTGGAATGATCTCGATAAGAAAAACCTGGACCCCAAAACTTTTCCTTAGATTCAGCCTACACAGGCAATTTAAAGCTGAATAAAATCCCTAGCGCGTTCAATTACCTTAAATGATGCTGTTCACCTATTCAAGGAGAAGGACTAAATCTCAATTAGGCCACCTGGGCTGTTCTCCCATAACTCAGAGAAATAGATTTTACAGCAATAGATGATGCTAAAAGGGGGGGAGGGCTGTAAAACTGGCTCTAAGGAGTCACAAATAACAAAACTTTAGAAATGAAATCAGTTATGCTACAGGCGCTGACTGCACTAGCCAGTGGTTTAATAAGATAGGTCACTGAGGAGCATTACTACTTAAATTTTCTTTTCCATCCTGTTTTCTTCCCCTAGCTGAGTCTCATTACAGAGAAGCATCTTTGAGAAGTATTTGGATGTAGGTGACAAAATGCTTTTTGGTAATGCTGGAATTTCAGGGCAGGTGTGATTCCAGGCCTTGCCAGTAGATGGCATTACAGCTTTTATTGCCGCAGTTCGGTTTCGGGTCTAGGCACCCATTTACTATCTCAAAAATTGAGGACTCTTGAGGAATTGTTTATATGATCTATACTAATAGTCACTATTTAAAGGTAAAGTTAAAAATATAACCTATTAATATAAATAACATTTTAATGAAAACTTCAAAACAAAAATATTTTCTATTTTTTGCAAATAATGTATAGCTGAGTAGACTACATATAGGATTCTATATTTGCTGTTTCATTGTTTTCAGATTTGTTTCACTGAAGCATATGAAAGAAATTTGGCCTCTCAGGGAAGCTGGAAAAGGTATTTCATTAGCCTTTTCAAAATAATCGTCGTTGTCTTTGATACTACATCAAACTCAAGGAAATTTTCTTAAATGTTAGTTGCAGTGTAGTATCTGCAACCGTATAAATGAAATTTTGTACTCTGCTATGTTGAAATCGGCATTTAGAATAGATGAGTCTGCTTGTTTTTGAAATTATCTTGCTGTGTCACTTGGAAAGTGTTGGTTCACTGAGTCAGGCAGAGCTTCCAGATGTTGACACATTTCATTATACAATTTCATAATATGACCATTTTTAATATTTACCTGTCTCATCAGAAATATCTTGTTAAGCTTTCGAAAGAAGCTGTTGAGCTAAAAGTAGATTATGTTTTTCTAAAACTTTCAATTTTGCTTGATATTCAAGCTAAAATTTTATCATCAGTAATACTGTTAGTTGTTTTCCTTGAAGTGGCAGTCACTCCATTTTCAAGACAATATATACTAAGTACCCAAATCTGAATGAACCACACTGTGTGATAGTAAAAAGGGTATCCTATGAAAAAAGAAATTCAAGTCAATCACATAAGTGCTTTTTCCCCCCCTTGAGACAACTGTCATACTTGCTATGCAGTGCTTTTCTATACTTCCCATTTTGTAACATTATTAGAGTTTTACTCAAGACTTTTATAAAAGTAATCATTTTTACTGCTCCATTAAGGACATTCTTAAATGGAACTGGCTTTTAAGTTATGTGTATGAGGAAAACAGTGACGACACCGACAGTATGGTGCCACTGCCCTGATTTGTGCAGAAGCATCAGTTTTAACCAACATTGCTCGTACACTGTCAGTGCACGTATCGACGCTGAGAAAAAAAATCATGTTTCAGTATTATTAGTTTGTTTGGTTTTTTAAGACTACTCTTCTTACATTGTTTTGTTGCTGAGGCCTCATAAGAATGTACATTTATTTCCAGAATTCCTCCAGACCCATTTTTATAAGCCCAAAGGAAAAAATTCCATAAATGCTTCAAAATGACTGAGTGCTTTGCAATGCACAGTAGAGTTTTAGATCTCTGGCAGTTGGTATGAAAAATCAGAAGACACCTTGACTTAGTTTGGGTTCATACTTTGAGGCAGCACTTATTAATAAATGCTCAGCTAATCTTTTAACATTTGGGAGTCTTGACCTCATTATATATAAAGTTGTAAGGATAAGATGGAAGAATGCAGATGAAAATTGCTTGAGTAATAATTTTTAGGTACCCTATTGGACTGATAACTTCTCAAAACAGTAGTAGGATTCCTTGTGCTACCAGAAAGTCAAGTGCCCGACGTTGAATTGAGAAGCCCAGAAGGGGAAACCACTTTAAGGGGATGGTGGATCCAGTATGGATGAAGAACCTCCAGGTGTAACGGAGCAGAGCTAAGTATAGTTGCAAGCAGTGGGGGAGGGTACCCGGCCCAGCTACTTTTATTGATGCTATTTTCAGAGTCATTACTGAAGGCTACTCCGGCACTTGCACATGTATGTATTATCGCATAATAGGGTTTCCATGTGCAGAGTTGCTGGCTGTCCTAACATTTTAGCCCCTTTATAAAGAAAACCAGGGCTTAAAAAAATTATAAGGGGTCACATAACTAGCTCCTGAGGAAGTCAGTCTGAAACCCAAGTCTGTTTTACTTTGACAGTACTCTTAGCCATTAATTTGTTGACTTTTGAACATTCCTAGGAGGAGTTAAAACCTTTTTTCAAAAATAAAAACTTTCACAGAAGATTCATATATAAAATAAAAATGTTGCTCTAGTAGAAGAGGTGTCCTACCCTGCCCTTCCTCACCAGCTACCCCGTCCCACCTGGCAGCACCACAGCTCATGGTAACCTGAGCCACTTCTGAAAATTCATGCCCTGCATTCAATGTATTTTGGGTCCCAGGAGTTCCAAGTGGGTAAATTACTAATATTCTTTATTTCTCTCTGTATTTTGGGAGATAGGAAAAGGAGGACTATGTCCAAAATGATGGCTTCTGGACTGTCCTAACCCATATTAACATCAGGCACTGTAGGTAGATCCATAATTTACAGTGAACACCGGCCTAGACTTGTATATTCTCCAGCAGAGATTGAAACAGATGAGTGGCTGCTAAACCCAGGGTGGAGCCTTCCAGACAGCTCCTCTTGGAGACGGTGACTGACAGGCATCTGTGCCCAACGCTGCCACCTCACCGGTGACCCAGGTGGCATATCCCTAACTTATCTGCAGTTGCAAAAGCAGGACTTACCTTTCAAAGCACTGCTGGTTTTGCTGTTTCCAGTGCCTTCACTAGACACGATTATTTTCTTGAAAACTGGCAGAGAACTAGGTAAGTTTTCTACGTGAGGCACTCACTAATCATTCCCTCAGCACAACAGAACCACCTTTTCCTGTGTCCCCCAGTTAAATGGAATAAATGCTGAGGATGTCGCAACCCCCCTGGCACTACTGGGCAGGCTTTTGTGCTGCGCGTCACACAAATACTTTACTTCGAGGGAAAAAAAGGCCCAGCTTGTGGCACCCACAACTGTAATTATATACTCCCACTTCCAACATTTGAGAACTTGAGCAAGAGGCTCTCTAGATTAAGAAGGACCGCAGTCTAAGAGTCACCAGGCTTACCTTCTTGCCTCCCGGAGAAGAGGCGTCAGGGGGAGGTGTACTTGTGATGTTCAATGGGCTAGAGCCACAGCTGGAAGGCGACGACCCTCTTATCCTGTCAGGGAAGAGAGGTGTTTGTTATGCCGCCTTTCCTTCCCCCGCCCGGGAGTATGAATTCCACACACGTGAAGAATAAAGATCTATAGCAGGGACTGGCAAACCTTTCTGTGAAGGCCAGATAGTAACTAGCTTCGGCTCTTTAGGCCATTTGGTGTCTGGCATAAGTACTTGACTCTGCCACTATGTAATACATAAATGAATGGGTTGTATCTGTGTTCCAATAAAACTTTATAAAAATAGGTGATAAACTAGATTTATTCCATAGGCACGTGATCTAGAATGTGGACCTTCAAGTCAAGCCTCTGTTAAAGCCCTCAGATTAGAGTCTATTCCAGGCTGATGAATTTCAACTAAATGACCAATTTTATTTCCTCACAAAATCTGTATTTCAGGGTTGGAGGAAACCTTTTTAATAGCATGAACTGGAATCCACAGCAAGTGATTTATCTTGTTCCTACAAACACTGGTTAGTAAATATTCAGGAAATGGAGGGGCTAGAGTGACACAGGCGCACCTACAGAGCAGACTCGCAGCAGTGCAGCTGGATTTAGGGAGCACATGGTAGCAGCTGTGCAACCACCAGCTCTCCGCTCCTTTTGACTCTTATTTGTACTGCCTACTTCTATAAATTCGTTACCACATTTTCTCCTTTGGATTAGAAACTCCTCAAAGGCAAGATAAAATTATATCATACTTTCAGCATACACAGGCAGGCACTAATTACTTGCTGAAAATGTCTCCATCCTTTTCCTATTTATGACTCTGAAGCCACTATTTTCCCCACAGTCCCCATCTTGGAATTGCTTTTGCTCGTTACTTCATCTTTACTACCTTCCTTAAAATGACTGAGTTCTCTTTCAGACAGTACCACCCCTATAAGCTGGGCTTCATTCCTGGGTGATTACTTGCTCACCTTCATCTCTTCCAATTCAGTGTCCACAATACTTAACCCTCTGGACATTTGCTTAGCATCCTACAATGAATGGGGTCTTGCCCTTTTTTTGGGTCTAAATTCAAATACGCTTAGCATAATTTCATGGGATGCTTAGTACTATCTCCCATCATGAGCCTCTACAAAAAGGCTCCCCAGTTAGATGGCCTGCTTTTAGAACCCAATATGCCACTCACATGCCCACTCCAGTATGTGCTTGTATTTTCTAGAAGGAATGCCCACCTTCATCACAAACCCTGGTTAAGACCAAACTCTTGCCTGCTCAGGAATTCTCCCTCTTTTCATTGTCATAAAGAAAACAGACCTCAAAGATCGTAAGATCCGTGAGGTCAGGTACTCTTTTGTATTATCCTTGGATGAACTCAATCAAAACACAGTGTTTAGTGGCTGATCACTGCACACAGGTCCTTCCTGAAGTAGACTAGGGCAGCTACCTCCATCATTCCTAGGGCTGGTGGAAGCACACTGGGGTAAGCGCCCTCTGCGGCCAACTGGAAAACGATCATCCTCTGAGTCTCCTAAGGGAATCAAGACAGTGGCAGCAGGGATTGTTTTTCCCTTCTGAGTATGTTCCTTTTTGTCTGCATTCCCAAGTAGTTGGTTACCATTCTCTCCACCCCCCAAATTCAAATCGACTTAAAATGCCTTCTCTGTGACTGCTCTTGAAGACAGAGACTCGGTATTGAAGCACTCAAAACACACCACTCACCCTATGTCTGTTTCTGGTCAGGAACTTGCCTGCGTTCCCTCACAATCCTCAACAGTCCTTGGGAGGTGGCTACTGCCTGCCATTTTTATGGTGTAAATCGACAGAAACCAAAAAATTAAAAGATGCTCTAAAAAAGCCAAGTTCAGGGCCTCCCCGGTGGCGCAGCGGTTGAGCGCTGGGTTGCGAAGCTGCCCGCAGCCTCTGCAGCGCCGGTTCCATCCCCGGCTGCTCCCCGGCCACCGGAGGAGGGTCCCACATGGCGCGCAGACCTCTCCTGCCGCCCGCTGCTCCCCTCAGCAGTGTACTTCGGTCCTTCTGCCTGCTCTGCTCCCCGCTCTGGCTCTGGTGAGTTCTCTCACCCTCCTGCGCTTCTGACTGTACCCAGTGCTTGTATAAATAAATAAATAAATCTTTAAAAAAAAAAAAAAAAAAAAAAAAAAAAGAAAAGCCAAGTTCAGAGGTCCAGGGTGCAAACTTCCAAACTTCTCTTAGATGCGGAACAGAAGTCTTGCGCACGAGAGCTTTCCTTCGTACCTGACCTGCTCGGTCTCTATTACTAACCTCAGGCAGCTTTTTGATTTGAAGAAGCTAATGTTTTAAGGGCTTGATCACGCGGCAGATCACAGCGTGTACTCCTGCCGTCCCGGATGTTAATGTACACCCATCCTCCCTGGAAGCTCTGTGTCATACAGAAGCAGTAAGAAAGTCGAGCTTCCAAGTAGTTCCCTTTAGCTCTGGCCTGTTTGGATTTAGGGTCTTTATTTCAGGCAGGATTTCCCAATCACGGCACTGCTGACATTTTGGACTGGCTAAGGTTTCTGGTGGGCGGGAGGGAACGCGGCGAGTGCCCCACATACTACAGGACATTTGGCCAGTGTGCTCCCTGCCGCTACCCACCGGGTGTTCCGCAGCAGCCTCCCGCCCGGCCGTGACAACCAAGTCTCCACAAGACCCCCATAGTGGGTGAAGCGCCCGTGTTTGAGGGGGTGGCGGGGGACTAGAAAGGGCTACTTGCCTGTGGATTTCCATGATTTCCTCAGCAATCATGCGACCTATTTTTCCTGCCCCGGCCCTGGTTCCCCCTGGAATCCCTGGAACAGTGGGGTGGGTCCTCTTCGGGCCACCTACAACAAAGGAATCTGAGAGTGGGAAAAGGGAACACCGAGGAAGGAATGCTATTACATGTTAAATCAAAACCAGTTTACCCCACGATGTGGAGTTCAACGTTAGGGTTGTGCCCTGAGGGACATCAGAGGCACAGCCTGTCCAGAAAAGGCATTCCACAAGAAAAGGCTGCAGTTTCCTTCCGGGATCAGAGGCAAGCGCTGCCAAGAAGCATCTAATTTCTCTTGTGCGCTCAGCGGATGTTTACCCAGTACCGGGCCGAGCACCAGAGAGAAGTCAGCATCCTTGGCCTCAAGGAGCTCACCGTCTTCACGGGCTGACAGACAACATGAACGCTGGCTGCAGCAAAGTGTAAGTTTGACACCCAACAAGGCACCCAAATTATCTGTGGTCAGTTTCCTGACCACAGGAAGAGCTTAACTGTGGGACGAGTCTTGCGAGAGGAATGTGCACTAACTTGTCAGCGAAGGAGGGAGGAGTCAAGGTAGAGCAGTAATACATGCAAGGGCACTGAGGCAGGACAAGGGGAGAAGCTCGCCATGACTGGCCATGAGGGAGTGACAGAGTAAGCTGGAGAGGCAGGAACAGTCAGGCCACGAAGGGCCGCGGGCATGCTAACAAACTCGGACAGTATCGAGCGGACAAGCAGCACCAAAGGACTCCACAGAAAAGGCACTGACTTAGATTTGGGTTATTAGAAAGTCCACTGCTGGAGCATGAGCTACAGAGGGGGACAGGGCAGGTATGAGAGAGCAAGACAGAGGCCAGGAAGTCATCTGTGACCATCCGAGAGATGAAGGCAGCACAGCAGCAATAGTGGTGACAGGACTGAGATGGAAGGGTCAGGACTCCATGTCTGGACAGAATGAGAGATGGAGGGAGGGGTTTAGCAACCGACCAGACAGAGGAGTGCGGACCAGCAGGTGCCTCTGGGACCCCAGGTGGCTCTGTCCAAGAGGCACTTGGCAAGACAGACCATGGCACAGGACAGAGTGGCTGCAGGAGTCGTGGGTATAGAGAGGTGGGGACTGAAGCAGAGGTGGGTGCAAGGAAGGGTAAGTCAGATGTAGACAGCAGGGGCCAAGGCCCCATCCCGGATATGGCACCCCCCTTGAACCCCTGCACGTTGACAGACGCCCCACCACCACCACAGGAGCCAGTGACAGTCGCCAGAGAGCACATCACAGCCACTAGACACCACACAGGGAGGAGTGCACAAGAGGAGCAACGAGTTTGCTATTTCAGGGACTTCCAGGGTGAGGGCAGCCCCAGCAAAGAGGGAATTCCTGGTATTTCAGACTCCACAGAGAAAGCGAGACGACAGCGTCCTCATTGCTCATCCCCTCGAGGCCTCCCTTGCTCCACAGGACATGCTGGCTGGGGCTCCTGAGTATTTATCGGCCACAAGCAGCTGCTCTCGGGCAAACCCCGATGCCCAGCAGTCCGTAGTTACCTTCTCCAGAGGGCAGCATGCTGTCCATGCTGTGGGGGGACGCCGTGAGCTGCGGGAAGGTTGGGTCCCCACCTTCCAGGACGTTGGCTCTGTGAACAGCCCAGCAATAAGGAAATGTGAGTCAGGCCTGCTCAGAACCGTGCACCTTTCACCCTGGCCCAGGGGTCCGGTGTCCACTCTGGACCTGGACAGGCCAGAAAATGAAGCGTGCGTCTGAGTGGCTGGACAGGCTTTGCTGTTGGGTAACGCGATGGAGAGCGCCCAGCCTTTGGCCTCGCTGCCTCCTAGTCTGTGCAGGACACTGTTCAGCAGGGATGGCAACATTGGCAAGGCCTGCCTCTGCTGCCGGGCCGCCTCTCCTGCCTGCCGCACACCCAGCCCCAGCCCTCCACTCAGTTCTAACCACCGGTGGAGGTCCGGGAACCCTGGAAAGGAGACTGGGGAGCAGGCAGGGACACGGAGGAGGTCCTTCCCTGCCCTGTTCACGCCGCAGGCGGCAGCCTTTGAGGCATTATTCTGACTGCCAGTGCTCAGGCCGCCAGCCTGGTGGGGTGGATGCCCGCCTGTCCTAGGCCACAGGCAACGTGCGCCGGTGCCTGTGTGCGCCGCCTCCTCCACAGCAGCACCCCGGGACGCCCTGCCAGCGAGGCCTGCGATTCAAAGGCTGATGGCTTTGTCAGAAAGGAAGTGCTGCCCTTTCCTGGAGCAAGTCCACAGGCTGGTGGCCTGCACGGGATGGGCACCGAAGCTGGTGCTTTGCTAATAACCCCTTTGGCTTCTGTCATTCCTGAGGTGTCACAGGATATTAGCAGGGGGGATTAAAGGATGCGACACTGGCCCTGCCTGAACCCCCTTCCCGGTGAGGTGCCCTAGGCGTTTCTCTTTGAAGCTTCGCTTCTGACACAGGAAGAACACTTACAGAACGACTGTGTTGGTGGAGACAATGTATTCTACTTCCTTGGTCCAAGGGTTCATGAAACTGAACCATCGACTCCGTAGCGTGATGAAAGAACCATCCTTGATTTTAAACTTATAGCAATTAGTTGTAATCTTTTCTCTTGTCTGTAAAACTGAAAATACAAAGAAACCGTGAACGTTTCCTCAAGCCAGGCTGTTAAACTAACCAGATACTTAGCGGCGCTCAGGCCCCGGTGCTCTCCTGCCTTCGTAAGCCGAGGGAGCCGGCACATCAAAGAACAGACTGTTTCTGGGGGCCTGACTCCGCGCCTTCCCATTCATTAGTGGATCTGTCACTATTTTTCAGACTGTATGAAATGCTGGCTCCAGGGAATAACAATGCAGCCTAGACATCCAGCTGCAGCCAGCTGTGAAGTGAACGTCAATGGACAAGAAGGCGCGAAAGGAGCACCTGAGGGCAGCTCAGCATTTTCAGGACATCTGGATCAGGCGAGGTCACCCACCGACGGAGACCTCATGCTATGGTATAACACTCGTCACGAGCACGCTTCACATGCCAGGCGCTGGAGATGGAAGAGGAGCCGGGGGAGAAAGCCTGCCCCCATGCAGCTCTGCAGAGGAGATCAGAGCCCTTGGGATGAATGCAGATTTGCCCAGAGGAGGAGGGAGGAACCCAGAAGTGACTTAGGGGTGGCAGGGCCTGGTAGGACAGGGAGTGAGGAGCTGGTCAGTGTGGCTGGCGCATGAGGTGTCTGTAGGTAGGGATGGGAGTGTGAAGCTGAGGAGGTGGAGCGTCCTGAATATCTGCCAAAGGCCTTTGGATTGGAATCTAAAGGCAGGGATTTTGAAGCAAGGACATGTCATCATCAGGCTCAATTTCTCAGGGCACAGGTGGGATAACAATGGAAGACAGACCAGAGCAAAAGGGATCAGGCAGGCCTGTTGGGAGTGGGCATACGGGCCTGCAGCAGAGTCATGGCTGTGGAGGTGGCAGAAAGGGGCCTCTATGGATATGCGTGTCTGCAGGGAATCAACAGGTCTGGCGTAGGACTCAGCGCTGGCTTCTCTCAGGAGACCACATATGCAGCTGTGTCAAGAGGAAAATACAGGAGACGGGGCGGGATTTTGTGGAGATACATATTTAAGGCCTCCTATAAATCTTTGCAGAGTCCAGGTAAATTCTCTGAACAAGAGATGCCTTCACGAAATTGCTCTGGCCTGTATACAGAGAATAGGGAGACTCTTGGGCTGGCTGACTTCCACATCATGGAGGGAGATTTCTCTGGAAGGTTAGACGGGCTAGTCTAGAAGCAGGGGGACACTTTAAACTTAAGACTTTATAGACTCCAGCTTACCTTGTCTATGACATTCTGCAAGATGTCCTATGTCATCCTGGTGAAAATACTCATAACATGATGTGCCTAGAAGTTCTTGCGGTAAATATGCCAAAATAGCTGTTGCCCTAAAAAAGAGTTATTTTTAAAAAAGAAAAGCTATTCAGATGATAAACAAACATCTCTGCTGTCGATGAGCCCTACTATCAGAAGAAGATCAAAACTGTTACCTTATGGATACAGACACGAAAAAAATACAACTGGATTTAATCAAGGCTATAAAAATAGAAGGAAAGAAAGCAAAAAAGCCTTTCAAAGGGCTTCATAAGAAATCAAATGCCGGGAGGTTTAAAAGTGGCATAACCATACTAGATGTAAACGGTGGCAGAGATCTAAACTCCTGTGCAAAGCCTCTCCATCTTAATGTCCATTTTTATCGGGATGACGAAACACCAGGCACTCCAACAGTGGGGCCACAAGGACCTTGAAAAGCAGGTGTTTCCAGCACTTAGTTACTATTTTTAGTAGCCAGAAAATTATTACTCTGTGAATGATCTTCAGGACACAGTGGAGAGCAATGGGAAATTTGGGACATCAGGGATCTTAGTCCAAATCAACTACTAATTAGTTGTGAAAACAAAAGAAGTCAGCTTTCAGGATGGGTCCCCACTCCTATGGATATTCCATAAAAGCTGAGATTGAGATAGATCAGTTCTACCCAACAGGACTTTCTGAATATAGAAATGATCTCTCCCTGTGCCCTTAGCTGCATATGGTTACTGAGTACCTGAAACATGGTTGCTGAGTATGAGAATTCAAATTTTTTATTTAATTTTAATTGATTATATTCAAATCTAAATAGCCATATGATGTTACCATACCCAATGACACTATTTGGGTAACTCAGCACTTGGAATCTTTTCCAAGAGCTACCTTCTAAGAGTCAATCACGGTAATGGCCGTGGAACATTCCATAGTTTCAGAGTGCATGCTCTACCTACTACTTCTCTCTCGGCCATCCACGTCACTCCCTTAACTTTCGACATGCCAACGAATGACACAGAAAACCTACTGGGCTGCATTTCTCAGAGCCTCATCACTTCCTTCTCTCTAAGTCTTAAGAAAGCCAACTGGTGGCCCATGTACCTTCTGCCTCACTCAGAGCTGACAAGTCCTCTACCGTCATGTTCAAGGGTGACACGCGGACTCTTACCTCTGGTCTACAAAAACAAACTTCCCGTCTATGGCGTGCCGAGAAACATATTCCATTGATTTCACCCTGATCTCCCCATTCACTGGTTGTGGAACCACGTGAGAATGCAGCCGACCAATGGCGACCAGGCAGCTGAGATTGCAGCCTTCGTTGTCTGGTTCGTTGTCTTCATCCAGCCCCATCTTTGTGGGTGGCCAGCTCTTCAAATATCCTGTGCTGTGGATTGTGCAGAAGCTTTTTCGATCCGCTAGAAAGCAAAAGCCTGTGGTTAGTGGCGGTGTGGCTCTGGGGCATGAGGCACAGGTAGTCTAGATGGGTTGGAAATCAAAATAGGAACTACCGCCTTCCTGATCCAGATGCAAGCATCCGGAGAGAGAGGGAGGAAACCAGGCAGCTGCCCCCCAGGGTCGCACGTGCTTAGTGCAACAGGTTTTACTGAGAAGGGAGCCCCGACTCCATGGGGATGGGGCACTGCCCAGGAAAACAACACAGAGGGTGGAGCAGGCAGGAGCAGCACCAGCTAAGGGGCCGGCACGTGTAAAGGTGGGGGAGTGTATGAAGGCACAGAGGAGCTCCTGTTTCTCACACAGAACTAGCCCAGTGACTAGCCCCGACCCAGTGCTGCGTGAGCAGCAGGACTTCTGTGTGGTTGAGTGAAGAGCAGGCACCAGGGGCAGAACTGGAAAGGCAGGCCAGAGGCCAGTGTCAAGGATCCTGGATTATCTGCTAATGTGTTCATTTTTTTCTTTTTTTTTTTTTTTTTTTTTTTTTATAGAGGCATGCTTTATTTATTTGTTTGCTGGTTTGTTTGTTTGTTTTGTTTATACATGCACTGGGTACAGTCAGAAGCGCGGGAGGGCGAGAGAATTCACCAGAGCCAGAGCGGGGAGCAGAGCAGGCAGAAGGACCGAAGCACACTGCTGAGGGGAGCAGCGGGCGGCAGGAGAGGTCTGCGCGCCATGTGGGACCCTCCTCTGGTGGCCGGTGAGCAGCCGGGGATCGAACCGGCGCCGCAGAGGCCGCGCGCAGCTTCGCAACCCAGCGCTCAACCGCTGCGCCACCGGGGAGGCCCTGTGTTCATTTTTTTCAAGTAGGAAATGGAAAGCTCCCAAAGGTATGGAAGTGGGGAAACAGCGAAACTAAATTGTGGTTAGGATGCTCTAGGAGCAGAGTGATGGGCAAACTGAAGCCCACGAAAAGCAGGAGGACAACAAGAGATGAGGCCCACGCCATGGCAGTCCAGTGAGGATAAGGAGGCAAGGGAGGCCGTAGGGGGAATGTCTGAGGCAGATCTGCTGGGAAAGGCATGAACTTCAAAACATTTGGTACGAAAAAGAAAGTGAGGATGATTCCAACTTCTTTTCTGCATAGAACAGTTGTTGGTACAATTCACTGACAGGACGTTTCAGAGGAGACGTGGTTTTAGAGATGAAGATGTCAATTTTAGTGACGTATGCGGCACCTATGGATTTCAGCACTAAACAAATTTTTTGGCGTGTTGACTAAGCACTGGGACTAGTCTGTTTACTAAGCATCTGGGCTAGTCACTGGGAGAGAGAAGAAAGCAAGTCAGACACGCCTTTGTGGAATGTAGAGTCTCCTGGGGGAGACAGGCATCAAGCAAACAATCACAAAAACCACGTAACTGCCACTGCACGAAAGAGCCAAAAAGAAACCCTGCAGGGCGCTACAAAAAGCCAGAAGGCAGCCTGAGGGAGGGAGTGGCAGACATTGCTGCCAGGATGAGCAGAGACGCGGAGAGGTTCCAACCAGGGGTGACAGGTTGCCTAGAGGCTGGTAGAGAAAGGTTTAAGGCCTAGAAGGGAACTCAGCAATGCTCATGCGTACTGAGTAGAGGCAGGGCTGGGGGCTGCATGGTCGCAGTCAAGATTTTCAAGTTTTCTTCAAGAGCAATGGGAAAACTTGAAGGGTGTTCAACAAGGGGCTGATCAAATGATTTCCTGTCAGAAAGGTCATTCTGGCTGCTCGGTGAAGGGACGAAAAGTATGAGACGCTTACTGCACAGACTGTGAGAGCTGAGCGCAGCCTGGATCTTGGGCTTGGTAAACATGGAGACATGTGAAAAGGTGCATATCACTTCTGCGGAAACAATTCATTGTGGCAAGACTTCCTGTAACTGACTGGCTGCAGGGAGGTGGTATAAAAGGGGTGAAACAGGGTGAGGGCCATAGGGTGTGCCCGTCTAGGTGGATGCTGGAGACTTTTACACTCAAGCAGCAGCTCGGGTGGTTACTTCAACATGTATCACGTCTGAGATGCCCTCGGGTGTCTATGCAGGAGATTTAATAAGTTGTTCTTTTAGGGATCAGGAGTTCAAGAGAGAAAGCTGGGCTAGGAACATAAAGTTGGAATGTGTTGGCATATAAATGGCACTGAACGCCAAGGGAGGGGGTGACATTACCTATGGACAAAGCATGTGAATAGCTGCTCTTGAGAAGAGAAGGCCCAGGACGGAGCGGAGGAACTAGCAGGCGGGCCAGGAAGAGAAGTGGCAGAGGATAAGGGAGACAAGAGGGATGTGGATGCACAGCATCCTGGGGAAGAGAACACTTCAAGATGGAAGAAAAATACAGTGTCCACTGCCTTTAGGAGGTCACAGGGGACTTAGTGTGAGTAACTGTGGTGTGCCAGTGGGGGCGCAGGAGCAGCTGCGATTGTGGCTGACAGTATTCCTTCCCAACCACATTAAAACACACAGAATTTCAACAGAGAAAGCTCTCCCACAGAGACAACCAACCAGGGCTTTCCAAACTCACCTGTGCTCCCCAAATGCCCTACACTGTAGAGGGAGGGACAGGGTGTTTAGCAGACTCCTAACTACAGCCCTGGGGCCTGACCAGCCAGGAACCACCGACCCACAGCCTGCTGACAGCACCGTGGAAAGCAAGCCTCACCTGAAACAGGATTTGAAAGAACTGTTGAAATGGTTACCTTTTTTCTTTGAGCAGGTAGAGGGGAAATCCTTGTCTTCAACCTTTACTGAAGGCCTGTTACACTTCATCCTACAGAAGAAAGAACGTCGTGCTCCAGAACATAATCGAGATGGCCCAGGGGTTATATCTGTTTTAACTGGAAGTCCAGCTGCAAATCAACACACAAAATGTGATAAACTGAGAGTCGTGCTGGGTGTCAGGAGGGGGAGTGTGACCTTGCACAAAGTCTTTTCTTTCCTGCCTCGCGGTTTTATAGTGATGACACGAGAATGACACTTCTCAGGTTAAGCCTTAACAGGTGTGCTGTGGAGAGGTGTGCTGTCAGCGTGGAAGTGTTTACTGGTCATGTGGGATGCAGCTACTGGAGCATCTACTGGACTAGATGCTCCAGGGGGTACAAAGAAATTAACACAGGGCTCCTGTCCAGCAGGAGTTATAGCGGAGAAGGGGAAACGGAAGCTCATCACGAGAAGACGTGAGGGCGCAAGGTCATGCATCACTGATTAGCACCAACTAAAAGGCAGCAGCGTCTGTGCTGCCCAGAGGACGATCCTGGGCTGGGACTACAGGGCGGGCATAATGCGGATACAGGACTGAGAGGAGGAAGCAGGACTGCCCGACAGCCTCAAACCTGGCTGCATGCCAGGACCCCCAATGTGTCAACATACAGCTTCTCGGACCTCATTCTAGACCTCTGCTGCCCAGGGTCACTCGCTACGTGCGGCTACTGGGCACTGGAAAGGTGGCTCTTCTCAAAGGGGTGCTGTGCTGGAGTGTGAATACACACAGGATTTCAAAGACTCGTACAGAAAGGCTGTAGAAGACGTCATTCAGTTGAACATTAACGTGCTGCAGTAGTATTTGAATTTCTCAGCTACATAAAACATAGTATTAAAATTAACTTCACATTTATTTTTACTTTTAATGTGGCTACCAGAATATTTAAAGTCACATGTAGCTCCTGTGTGTGGTTCACATTATGCTCCCACTGGACCGCGCTGTTCCAGACCAGCGGCACCCGTCTCTGGAAGAGCAGCAGGACCATTATCCGCAGAGAAACACGGGCCGCTTGTCAGTGCACAACACAGCGCTAAGGCTGACACCTGGGGCACAAGCGCCCTCACCGCCCACCACAAGAGGGCAACTGTCAGAAAGTGGCTGCTGCCCAGGCCCAGGTCTCAACCTCCCAGGGTCCCTCAGAATACCCACCCAGCTCAGAACCCCTCACTGGGTACCCATGAAAAAAATCTTGGTGGTCCAGCCTTCCTGCTCCCCGCCCCCAGTAAGTTATGCTCCGACAGCACCACGCAGGCCACTCTTCTGCCCCCGTCCACAAATGTCCTCCCTTCATCACCTGGCAATCAGTAACTCATCTCTGCAAACCCTCCTCAGCTGCCATCAGCTCGGTGATGCTGTCCCCACACCCACATGAGAATTAGTCATCGTTCTCTATGCTGCTATTGCTATGGCTGCACCTATTACAAGGGTGCTGTCTCGTCTCCCTGACTATGTAAGAACCTTAAAGACAAGCACCAAATACCATTCACCTTTGCTTCTCAGGTCATTAAAAAAATTGCAGGACCAGACTACAAAGAGCAACAGGTACCAGGAACTGTATTGTTCTTAGAGGAAGCGGAGTACCCAAACGAAAAGAATGATTTAAGAGAGATTCCTCTGCTGGTGTTTCCCTCCAGAGATAATGGAGACCTTGGAAGCAGGAAACTGGCGACTGCCTGGACAGCACTGGAGTGAATACCAACACAGGTGTTGCGCTTACTATGTGCTGGGAACTGTCCCACCAGTCGAATATATATTAGCATATTTAATCCCCACCATAACACAATAGAACAGGTATTATTCCGTAGATATGGAGGCTGAGGCACAGAGAGGCTAAGTGACTTGCTCAAGGTCACACGGCCAGTAAATGATGCAGCCAAGATGTGAGCCCAGCAATCTGACATGAATCCACTCTCTTAACTGCTGCATGGCCTCCTGCGGAACTAATGGGGAGGAGAGCTGCTGGGGCCTCTCCCAGGAGGCGGGAGGGGGTGCAGGTGCAGGAAGCTATGGGAGAATGTGAAGGAGATTCCACCGTGGCCGGAAGGCAGCCAGGAGGTGAAGCAGCCTACGGAGGAACCACTGTGGTCACAGACACGCTGTATCTGTACCTGAAGCTTTCTTTGTCTTAAGACATGAGAGCAACTCAGGTCAGCAGAGGTGATTTTTTTCAGGGGAAATGAATCAATCTGCTATGAGCCCTTTAAACTCAGGAGCACACAACTGGGAATTTCTAGATTCTGAAAAAAAATTACTAGACATCAGAAAAAATCAAATCAAAGCAGCTGTTTTTTGGGGCCTCTTGGTGGCCTAGGGGTTAAGTCTCAGCGCTATCACTGCTATGGCCTGAGTTTGATCCCCCCGCCAGGGAACTAACCCACTTATGCTGCAGCAGACCTCTCCTGTCTCCCCTGCTGCTGCCCTCAGCAGTGTGTTTCAGCAGGTCTGCCTGTTCTGCTCCCCACTCTGTCTCTGGTGGATCCTCTCACCGCCCCACACACCTGGCCTATACCCCAGTTCTCCTACACATAAATAGATAAAAAATAAAAAAATAAAACAAAGCAGCTGTTTTCCTTCTCAATGAATTTAGACATTGAATTTTTTCTTTCTTTTTGTAAAAAACAAACACAAAGACAAGGAATAGACATAATCCCATTCAGCCAAAAAAGCACCCATGAGCCAAGGGAGGGAGGCACGCTGAGCACCCAGATGTGGGGCCACACGCCCTGCTCCATCCCGGCTCAGCGCTGAACTGCTGCTGCTGCAGAGGGAGCCCCGGCAGCCTCTCCCCACTCACTTTTTGCATCGATGAGCCGCTCCCGGGGTGCAGTGTCGGAGGAGGAGAGCTGCTCCTTGACTTTGGCGATATCTTTAGGATGCAGGTAATCAAACAGACTCTGACCTATCAGGTCATTCTGTGGGAAGGACACACCAAAAGCAAGTCAACAGCTTATGGAACAGAAATTATCCAACAAATGGTCTGCCTGTGCTTTATATTTTTCTGCACGAGCGTGTCAGGCATTTCACACGTGAGCATGTGCCCACGTGCAGCCGCCTGGCCGAGGTAGAGTGAGGAAAAGGCGGCTCAGTGCATGAACAGTTGTACCCAAAGCAGAAATCTCTCAGCTGCATATATTCTATTTTATTTCTATCTGAGACCCTCAAATACCCTACTAGGACCGTGAAGGAGGAATGCTGGCTCCCTCCATCCTCTCGGTTCTTGAGGAAGCTGAGCCACACAGCATGCCTGAGCAGCCTGATCTGGGAGCAGAGAGAACTTTATTCTAAGACTAGAAAGAGCAAAACACTTTGGAAACATTAAGTTTGCATAAATTCAAATTTACATAAATGTTGTTTTGATTCTTTGGTTCTTCTGAATTCCAGATTCCAGGCAAACACCAGCATGTGAATTAGTGAACAAATACATGAGTCAAAACTCCAGGGATGTAATAGGTGAAAAGCTCTGTTCTTACAGCTTTCATAAATGTTTATCTTGCTTGATCCCACAAACAATCATAAAAGATATGGATCATTGCAGCTATTTTTTTGAGGACGTCAAGGTTCAACAGGGCCAATAAGTGACACATCAGTGCAAGCACAGTATAGGCGGATTCCCAATTTTCTTAGTGTCTGTTATTACCAGCTTACCTTTCCTTCCTTGTCAGGTAGGCCGTCACAAACCCCCCCCACCCCTTAGTTGTGGGGTATTTTGCAGTCATAAAACAATTAGAGTCAAACTTTCCAGTGGGGGAAATATAAAACATATTAAAGGAACTTTCCACATTTAAAGAATTTTCTGTTAAAGAATTTTCTGAAAGACGGATGGGGTGCGGAAACAATGTAAACCTTTCACATGTGACTTGACTGCCATCATTATTCTGAGAAGTGGGGTTTAGTCTGAAAATTTCTGGTGGCTGTGCGGCTGTCTACCAGCAACAGGAGTGTAAGCAATACCTGGCTGTAGTTGAGGATCTTGAAGACGGACTCTGACACAAAGAGGATCTTCCCTCGGTCACACCCGACGACAAACAAAAACCCATCTGCTGCCTAATCAGGAGAAATGGATAACCAGGTCACCACACTTTAAGAAACATGATCTATAATCATTCTGATAGCAATTAAAGATGTGCTTTCTAAATATTCCGAGCACTTGCTGGGCTGCCCGTGCCGACAGTCTCGCGAGTACCCTCAGAGTAAGTGCCTGTGAGAGCAGCGAGAGTCTCTCCGAGGGAGACGCCCATGCATCACTTACTGATACAGGGGAAAGTTTAATTAAGTAAGTTCTGTTTCAAAGCAGAATTCAGCTGAAGCGTTTTCCTTTGATTGCATGAAGGCTCAGGGAAATGATGTTTTATTTCCTTAATTATAAAACTCTATAGAATCTGAGGTTGGAAGGAAACTTTAAGATCAGAATTTCCTCTCTAATGTCTCGGCCACCTTCTCCCCTCAGCTTGAACACCTGCATTTACAGGAAGCCCTGCCATTTACAGGAAGCCCTGCAGAGCAGCAGTTCTTGACATTTTAAGTGGTCTTTTTTTTTTTTTAAGGCAGATGATGTGGAATGGGGCTGGATCACTGGTACTGTCCTCACCCCATCCCACACTCCCTTCCCCAAGTGATTCCAATGTTCACAAGGTTGAGAACTATTATTGCAAGTATTAGCCCTTGACTCAGGGTTGTGCTGTTTGCATCCCAGGTGAGACAGGAAAGGCACAGTAAGATTTTCCTTTAAAAACTGTTTTACCTCTTCTTCACATTAAATGCACATAACAAACTACAGTGCCAGTAAAGAGTATTTACTAGACAGACTGGAGCACATAAACACCAAAACCACAGTGGCAGGGCGCTCAGGCTATTGGTGTTTGTGTGCGTGCCTCCTACCCACGAATTTCCAGAGAGGCAACCACTAACTGGGGTCTTCCCAGTGACGGGAGAGCACCTCCCCAGGGACTTGTACACAATTGCTTGTATACTCTGCTGCCATTGCTCTAATACACAATATCCTCCTTTACTCACTAGTCTTCACTCTGTTCTCTGGAAATATCTAAAGAAAGTCTATTCCCTTTTCCACAAAAGGGCCTTTGGGATATATTTTAATTCAAAGAACTGGGAAATGAATTCATGTGCCAGAAGGTCACCGCAGAATGGTGCATCCACCTGTGCTGGGATGAAGCAGTGAGAAGGGGAGTGGAATTACTGTTGCTGGAGAGCCTGGCAGGTCACCCAGCTGGAAGGGAGCTGGGAGGATCCTTTCCTAAGTTATGCCTCTAAGCTGGCCCAGGGGCAAGGCATGACAGTGAGGGGGAAGCCACTTTCCAAGCACCATCTGCTGGAAGCCTCATTCTGTCAAAAAATAGGGTATTAATAACTTACTCATTTGCCTTGCAGACAATCTTATATCTACCAAGAGAAATGTTTGGAGGCTTTTCATTGACAAAGTGATGTGGCGCAAAAAGTGCCTGGGACGAAGGTGACAGAGACATTCTGGAGGAAAAGCACCACAGGCCTGGAACAATGACACACCCAGAGGACAGAGTAGGTACCAGAGGCTGGTGAATCCTGTCAGCACAGGGGAGGGGAGACTGAAAGCATTCTGGCTGGGCATCACTTGGGCAGATGAGCACCAGCTGGTGAAGCCCGGGTGAGGGAGACCTGAGGAGCAGACGTGTGAGAACACCAGCATGATCCCAGGGCCACAGTGGGGCCAGGGCAGAGCGCCTCCTGGGAGGACACAGAGGGACCCTGGCAGGGTCTGCCTAGCTTTCAAAACATAGGGAAGTCGACTATTTAGACATTATAAAGCAGTCAGGTTGACGGCTCCCCTGGCACACCATCAATTACATATGCTTTGAAAGCATTTAATAAATAGAGCTACTGGTCAGATTTGCATTGGTAAGTGAGAGAGAGTGGAAGTCCAGCTCCTGCTGCCAAGCTGTTCAGACAGCACCTGAGTGGACCCTGCCTTCTGTTGAAGCAAACTGCCAGGAACTGGGGACCTGGAAGTGGCAGAGGATGGGACACTACTTCACAGCCCCTGATATGTGCCAGAGATGTGAGAAAGGTTTCACCAGGGAGGACATCATCAGAGTTGTAGGCAACAGAAAAGCAGAAGGGGTGAGGGTTCGAGGAGACATCTAGGTCGAATAGCGTCAGCAGCCTTGTTCCATGCCATGGTAAGTGAGGGCCTCTCACAGGAAATTACTTAGAAAAGGACCAGCTATTAAAACGTGTCATTCCAAAAGAAACTTGTTTTACATATGTGTGTGTTTTACATATTTTATATAAATTGCCTAACATATTACATGTATAAATAGAACACACACAATTCATATATAAAAATATATCTTAAGAGAAAAACAGTATATATCAAATTATCTGTATGGTATTCAGGACTGGCTACAAAATTTGTAGGACTCAATACAAAATGAAAATGCTGGGACTTCTGTTCCAATATGATGACTTTCGAGATGGTGACAGCAGCACATTAACTGCCTGTCACAGACAGCCCTGCACACGCAGCTCCTATCTTCACTTCAGCAAGTCCTCCCTGAGAAGAAGGGCATCTCTATGACGTGGAGGGAGAGTTGAGGACAGAGCTGGGCCCGAGGAGCAGCAGCGTCACTAGCTGGCAGACCTCAGGCCCATGGTGTGTGTGTCACACCGTGACATCTATGGGATGTTCCTATAGAAAGTCCTCAACAGTGCTTGAGTTAGTGAATGAATGAATGAAAACGAAAAACTCAGAAGGCATGCCTATCAGATCTGTACGTCACATGAGGCTTTGAGGGCTTGCTAATGACAAGCTGGGGTATAAGACTATTCAATAAATAGATTTCAGCAGAGATATAAAGTTTAAAAAAATACTAACTGCATTTATACATGATGACAAAACCTGGTGCAACAATAATTCCCAGTAATGTGTGTCAGGAAAGGGCAACATTACAGCTGTTCCAAATGTGGCGCCCATCAAACGGCTTCTGGGGGAGGGAGGCACCAGTCAACCCCAGGCCTCGGCGACCACAGTGGAAGTTCTGTATTGGCTTGTGCGAGCCCCTTGTGAAGGGAGACCAGCACATGGAGGTAGCTCTGGAAAGCGTGTGTCGCAACTGCTGTTTGGGGGCTGATTCCGGCCCCCTTTCTCTTATGCCTACCACTATTAGGGAAGCTGGAAAATCAAAATACTTGGACCATAACCTGCCCTGCAGCTAGGAGTGACAGCTTCTGAATAATGTGAAATCCACTACCCGGCTTCCAGGAAGCATTTCTTGATAAAAAGGGCAGTCGGCTTCCAGCCTCTCTGCCACTTTAATCTGGCTAATCTGGCTGTCAGATCTGCCACAGCCACCTCACTACATGGAGGAGACAAGCCACATGCCAGTGTGCTGCGTGAGAACACAGTGTGGGTCCTGCTGACTTTATGGAGCCACTGCACCAGCCCCTACCTGGCTATACTTTCCCAATCTTCTAGGTTATGTAGAGGAAACAAAACCCTATTTGTTCATCAGGTCTTCTGTTCCTTGCAGCTAGATGTTTTCCAATTAACAAAGCATGTCACAGGGCTGGGCAGGAATCCTGGAGTGAGCAGTAGGTCAGACTTAGAGGTACCCAAAGCGAGGCTGAGGCTGAAAATGGGTAGTGATAATGTTGGGCTCCCCTCCAGGCTGGGGCTTTGCAGACTTCTGCTGAAAGAAGGGTGCCAAGATGGTGTAGGGGGCTCAGTAAACCAAATCAGCTCTAGCTGGAGGGAAGTGGGGCAGTTATCTTTTTAGTTCTATTTTTCCTTTTATAATTTGCAAGTGGACCTGTTACTGAATCCAGTTCTCTCTCTCCCTTCAATTTGCAAGTGAATCTCACGCTCCCTGGGAGCAGACCTGCTTTTGCACGGAAGCCAGGCTCCGTGTGCCACCCGAGTGCCTCTCTGCAGAGACTGGCAAGACGAATCGAGCGCTGCAGTCAGGCAGTGAAAGCATCACCTCCTCCATTTACTTTCCTCTTTAAGCCCCGATGTTTTTAGGAGCTTCCTTGTTTTGATGAAATTTTGGTATCAAGATTTAGGAGGAGGCTTCTGAGCTAGGGCTTAAGTGAGGGTAAGAGAAATTTTCAACGGTTAAGCAGTTTCAGTCCCTTTCTAACATTCAGGAAATTCTTAATTACCTCCTATTTGAAACAAAATTCTGCCTGATAGAAAAAAAAAAAAAATCACAGTAGCACAGACCTTCAATTTTTGCCTAAGCAAGGTTCAAAGAGGAGGAAGAAGGTGTCAGGGAAGGAACGGGACGTCTATCCAAACAGTACGATAAAGGGATAAAGGGGGTGACCTGAGAGAAAGAGTGTTCTAGGAGTTCAGCATGCAGGCATTAAATTCCCACATGCCGGAGCGCTGGAATTGTAAAAATAAATGTGCAAAAATAAACAATTCCATAATTGCAACATACCCTGAGAATGAGGTGTTTCAATTCATCATCTGACAGAAAAGTTGGTTTGTAGTTTGCTTCTGTGTATGGATTGGTGGCACCTTATGGGGAAAAGAAGAGAAAGAGTCAGTATACTTTATGTTCAAGATCATGTGTCATTCTACTGCCTGTGTCGGACCTTCTAACTGAAGAATTTTATTTCATCCTCTTACTCACTTTTTCACTGAGACAGGGTTATTAGTTCTGGTTTTGGACAGATTCTTGCAATGCCAAAGAGAATTCCACTGAAAAGAGAACACTGTTGCCCACAGGAGACTTAACAAGCTTGCTTTTGTCACGATCGTGAAAATCAAGAGATAATAGAAGGAAGTACAAAATCTGCTTCTAAGTGGTAGCAGCTCTTGAAGCAAACTGGCAAAGGCTCCTGGGAGGGCTCCTTCTGCCCAAGATCTATATTAAATAGATTGTCTAGCAGTCCCTCAAATCACCACTTTAAATGTTCTTGGGAAATCACCCTGTTTGCCAGGCCCTGAGTAAATATATTGTCGAGGGCATTGACTGTGAGTTCCTCTTCATCAGGGGAGAATTAAATGAGCTTGGCAGCCCTGAGACATGTATTGCTTCAGTAAATGCAACTCAAGATCCTCAGCCTTAAAGTAGACAAGACTCACGTTCAAATGGCAGTCAATCTAACCTTGTTCAGGAGAATGGTGACTTACAGAAAAATGCCAGGAGTAAACCACTTGGCATCTGCAGAGCAGTTAGCAGAATAATGAAGAAATAAAATGAAACAGAACCATAACAGCTCCAAGCACCGTGGGGAAGGAGAAAATCAGAATCTGTCTGAGATGTTCAAATCAACCACCGAGGCTCCTAGCATCACTACCCTTTTATGTTAACTCGAGATTAGCCTCTTTCCCTTCCAATTTAATAGAAATTAGTTTCTGATAATTTAATCTCTATCATTTTTCTAATATGAATTTTTAAATGTCATTCTCCAAGGAATACATTTTAAATTATGATCAAAAGCCAGACAAAACCAACTATAACTTCTTTCTGGAAGCTTTGTAGGAACATAAAGATGCAACTCTTTCTACACAGGTCAGCGATCTGATTGAGTGCCCACTTTCCAGTGTCCTTAAAGAAGTCCAAGACTTATGGAAAATTCCAGGAATGGCATTCACTACAATGCCTGGCCTGTTTCAGATTTCTCCTTCGGTTTGGATAAGTCACTTTCATGTTTCTGTCTGTTTTCTCACCCTCCCCACATTCAGAAAAGGAAAACACACCTCCCTCATAAAGCGTCAATCTAGTTTGGGAAAATTTCAGAAAGATGAAAATATCATCAGTGTTCATTCCTGACAATAAAATGCAGCAAGAACCATCAACTAGTGACTCATTCCTCAAAGGAAGCAAGACGAATTTTCCTCTTAAAAACTGAATGTGACTTTTCTGTGTCACAAAGTGCACCTACATTTCTGATATTATGTGTGGAGGTCAGCAACACGCATGTGGACAGGACATCAGCACCGTCCTCTGGTCTGTGTGTAGCCTGACCACCTGCACCACAGGCACACGCAGAAGACACAGCTCTGCCCTCGGAGAAGCAGGACTGCAGAATCCCACCTTGATGCCATGTAAACTCAACAATCATTTGGCATCACATCTACTCCTGAAAATTACAGGCATATTCCGAGATAGCATATTTGCAGTAATGAACACTTGCCTTTGGGATTCAGGTCCATTCTAGGTGAGGGTGGCAACACTGCAGGCATGGGCATAACGGATAAGAAAGCCTAGGATCTCACCTCGTAATGTTTTCATGTGCTGAACAGCCATCCTCAGCACAGTAAGTTTATCTAACTTCCTGGACATCGCGTTGCACGTCGGAACCAAGGAAGCCAATTCATCAATGAAACTGTTCATTTTATCCCGACGCCGCTTTTCGATCTGACTGTGAGCTTCCCTGAACGATATGAAAAAATATCTCCATAAAATGTAACCAAGCATCAAGGAAACAAAACCAAGTTATAACTGTTTTCAGTATCAACCTGACAAGGCAAATTTAGAATCTGTGAAAGGTTTCAAGCTAGACTTTCCTAGGAATATCACCAAAAATGTGGTCTCCCTGCTAGGTCAGTTCTAGTTTGTTCTAACACTTACCTCATCCCTAGAACTAAGGGGAACTATGACAAATATTGTCTTTTCAGAGTAAAGTGAACCACTAATTTCTCAATTCTCTTTTTCGCTCAGCCTCTGTGAAGGTTGAAGATGGAGGCAGAAGGGAGAAGGGAGGGGGAGGTTTCCAAAAGTGCCCAGAGCAGCTCTCAACGTGGGTCCCACAGCGTGTTGTGTCTGAGGTTTGAGAGGGGCCCACTGAATGGTTCTCAGACACTGAGTCGCCAGGTAACTAACGCTGCCATCCTTGGATCAACCATGACCCCACCTAGGTGCAGCAGATGCTACATCTTCAGATTATCATCCTTCTCCCTCCCTCCCAGGAGTTGCTACTCGCTGGGGCTCACGCTCACTCCTTCACAGGTTTGCACCTGCTGATTGTGACTGTCCCCCTAAAGAGGTATATGAACAGAGGAAATGTAGCAGCTGCCACTGCTGTAGCAACAACCACAGTGTCTCTGGCTGAGGCTGTTCCGAGAGGGGAAAGCTAGCAGTCCCAGCTGAGCCAGATTCTGCAACCTTGGGGGGCTTTGGGGCTAACAGCAGGAGAGCGGAGCACCCCATGGAAAGGAGCCAGCAAGTGTGGTAGGAGGCAAGAGAACCTACTCCTGGGAGCAACTCCCACCCCCAGGTCTGGCCTTCAAGTGCAACTTGCAGCGCAATAAGGGATCCTTTCAGCAGCCAGCCCAGGAAGTGAGTCAGTGGGCCAGATTTTTTTCTGGAGTGGGCCCCAGGAAGAAGTAACCTGCTGAAGGCTGGGGAGAAACTTTAGCCTTGATTAATGTTCTGCTACTTCCAAAGTCCCCTTCTGGTTAAGTGTGCTTAGACAGCAAGGCATGCAGGCCAACTCAGCCTAGTAAGAGGGAAAGGCAGACGGCCCCAAGGCCTCTACACTCTTTTCACATCCCTAAGGACATGACTGTGTTGAGGACAGATGAGGACCAGAGACACAGACCCTGTGACTGCATCACCCCAGGGAGTAGAGCAGAATGAGGGGCCAACCATACCTTGCATTTTTGATCCTTCCTTGGTGCTCTGTGTATTCTAACCTGGAAAAAATAAAAAAGGGCAATAGATGAAAGCACAATCCCCCAGAGAGGCACAGTAAAGTTATACATGCCTGTCTCCTTCCTTCTAAGCCCTGTCATCTCTCTACAACACACAGGGTTCTTGGCTGTAAGCTACATTGGACTGGGGTCACGGGAGACAGTCTTGAGCCTGTGGCCTTCGAGCTTATCCCCACTCAATGACAAGGGTGGAACCAGCCCAAGTAGGAGAATGTGTAATTATGCAAAGAACAGGGCTGTGAGGACACTGAGGTTCTTATTACTAAGGTCACGATACCTTCCATGAGGATCCTCTTTGTCTGTGTCCATACTTTCTCTGAAAAAAACAAGAGAGAACATGACTATCTGTTAATAAAGACACACAAAATAGCTTACTATAATATAGAAGGCTCTCGTTTATCCAGAAACCAAATAATTAGAAAGCTCAAATAGGCACAGTATTTTTGATGGATAGCAATAAAACAAAATAAAGCAACCTGAACCTCCTATAAAACCCAGACTGGTTTTCTAGTTTATCAAACAAAAGTTATGGATCATAGAGCTTGTATGTTAATATATATTTTACCATATTTTGATTGTTTGGAACTTGGGAATTACATAGCAACTATGGAAAACTCTTAAAGTATCCAAACAACTATATCATTACTCCTATCATTCTGGATAAATGGAGTTTATTCATTCTGAAAATTTATCTAGCATCAAATACATGTATACATACATATATACTTGGGGTGTGTTGGGGCGGGGGTGAAGTGAGGAGGGGAAATCAAATTACCAAGACATAGAGCAGAACTACAAGCCACTTTTCAAAGGCACAGCTACCCAATATTCTGTTCTCAGCTAGGCAGCACACCACTAGGCTCAAGGAACTGGGCTAGAGGGGAGGAGCAGGTTGTGGGTGTGGAAACCTGTCTGGCTGCAGGAGGTCCTAGGGTAGCAGTAAGGATCTGCCTTCCTTGCAAAGATTTCAGAATTTCATGGCACCTTGTGGGTCAGCAGAAAATAGACTGAAATCCTCAGAGGAAGGAGTTGCAGATTCAGCCGGGGTCAGTACACTCCCTTCACCAACACTGACTGCCACTTGACCTTTCTCCTTTATCCCATAAAATAGGGTGAGGGGGATGATGGCTCCTCAAGCAATGTCATCTCTAGGACAAAAGCCGCTGTTTCTTAGGAATACTGAATCCCATCATGGGCACTCTGGAACACTGGTTCCCAACCTGGGGCCCCTTCATTTCCTCTTGGGCAGAGGTTTTTCTAGTTAATCCTAAAATGCAGAGGAACTCATATAGGCCACATGGAAAAATGAAACCCCCTCTTCACCCCAGCTTTGGCTAGACTTGGATCTGCTCCTTGAGGTCAAGTTGATCACTTTCTGACAGCCCTACTTTTACTTTTTTTCTCATCAATGTCTCATCAATGAAACTATAGGATTTACTTGTTAACTTTGTAACTTTTATAAAAGCAAAAAAACCTCCATGTGTATGAGGGAATCTAGAAAATGCTCCCTTGTCCCTGGCCCACTCATCAAGTCTATACCATCTTTCCCTGCCCTTCTGTAGGTAAAGAGAAGCTCTGCCTTTAAGTATGATACAATTATATACAGGGGAAGGACCATGGATCTTTAATGAGGGTTCCATGAATTACCAGAGATTAGCAAATGGGGGTCCACAAGGGAAACCTGAAGGCCTTGTATGGTGACAAGGTTGGAAGCCATGGGTCTAGGTAACAGAGGTCTTAAAACACATCACTGGCTGAATCAGGACATGAAACAAGGAGGCCATGGAAAACATCTCCTGGTCTCCAGAAGAATACCCACTGGGTCCTCACCCCACTCTCCATCCCCTGGGCTTTTGGCTCTCTTAATTATCTGGGATAACTTACATATTTAATCATAGCATCTCCTAGTGGGCATCTGACCTCCAGTCACTGTGCTCCCCAAATTCGACCTGTGAACTTCAGCAGAAAGGACATCTGCTGTACAGGGGGTACCTCTTTGGAGATGTTTCCTCATTAAACAAAAGAAAATCTCTTAAGTGGACATTCGGGTAAGATTCCACACAGCTGCCTCAACAAAACAGAATGTGCCTTTGACTGTTCTGCTCTGCCTAGTTCCCTGGGTTTCTGTACAGAGATGGAGGAGTTGACTGTAAGTGTGAACATTTACTTACTCAAAAGAAAAGTCATCAAGTCTAAAAAGAAACAAAAATACTATTTAATATAGCAGGTACATATTAATTTAAATAATGTTTAAGGACAACACAGATGTTTTCCGAAATGACCTTGACTTAACTCATTCCACAAACATTAATTAAGCAATGGGTGTCTTTCTCAGACAGAGACCCTCTGGCAAAGCTCTCTTTAAGCTACTGAGATTATATCATACATTGATTTAGCCACCTAGCTCAAAGGAGCAAAGGCAGGCAAGGAAGGGGTAAACAGAACTTGGCTTTAAGGCTGTTCTTTTTTTCTGGATGAGGAACCATTTGGGGCTGGGACAGTAAATGCCTTTCTGCATTTACTGGGGCTGGAGGGCCCCCCGCCCTGTTTGTAATCCAGGGGGTAACCCAAAAGCCAACTGTGGGGCCACCCAGAGTTGGATCTTTCATCCCCATCCCTTTCCATAAAGAGGATCCTTTCTTTCAAGAGCAAAGGTGGCTCCTGGATGGTCCACATCTGCAAACTGACACCAAATTGAGCCAGAGAAGAGGCACTCTGAAGGCCTTACTGGTAGTCCGTGGAGCTGCCTTTCCTTTTGCGGTTGCAATCCACGCTGCTGGTGCCGAGGGGGCTGGAGAGGAGGTCGGTGGCACCCGGGGACATGAAATCACTAATGGTTGAAGAAATGTCCATTCTTTGGTCTGCCATTGGAGGTCTAGAATTGGTACAAGGGGGCACAGAGATGTCTTTATTTCCAGCTGCTCTTCTCAAGTGGCAGAGGCACTCTGGAGGCGCGTGGGGGTTGTTTACAGAGCCACCACTTCTCTCACCCAGCCACTGCACCAGGACACGGCCGCGCCAAAGTGCGTCGTAAATTTTAAGAGTTAGCATATGTAGTGCACACTCACCTGCTTGTTTTGAGTTCAGAGAAACTGGGTGGCTTTTCCTAGGTCCTGGTGCTAGGGCATGGGAGAACCCCAGGGCCCAAGGCCCTAAGACTTGCAGTCCAGTGCATCTCCTGCTGAGGGGACTAAGTGTCCCAGATGCTTTCTGATAGCAGTTTTACTTTTTTCTCATCAATATGTCTCATCAATGAAATAATAGGATTTACTTGTTAACTTTGTAACTTTTATAAAAGCAAAAAAACTCCATGTGCATGAGGGAATCTAGAAAATGTTCCCTTGTCAATGGCCCACTCATATACCATCTTCCACTGTCCTTTCATAGCCAGCATCCAATGCATGCAAACATTGCACAATGAAATGATGAAGACATTGTAGATAAAATCTCAAAAACATTTTGAGAATTCACATTTTAAAAACATGAAGTATGCTGGCTCAGAGGGAAAAAGGCTGCCAAGTTACCTTGCAAGGGGCTCCAACAGCAAGCCAAGGTAAAGAGGGCGGTGTGCTGCCCACGGTCGGAGGGTAGGCGCTCCACACGCTGTGACGGGGCTGTCACTCCCTCTCTCTGGGCCCGAGTTTCCTCATCTGCCAAGCAAGAGGGGAGTGTGAGCTAATCCTCGCCACCACTTCCCACAGATCAGTGAACCAGGCCCTGGTGGTTAGGCATGTGTGCCAATGTTTCACTTCACAAGCATTGCTAGAGTAAGACATCTTGGTGCTAATATATCCAGGCGTATGAGCTATTCTCTTAGAATTATTTCTAAAAGTAGGGCTGACAGGGACACACACTGCAAGTACCTATCCCCAACAATAGCTCTTATCAATCTGAAAGAAAGAAAAACAGAACCTCCTTGTTTTTTTACTTGTATTTTTATTTTATTTTACATTTTAAAAGGACAGGTTTATTTGGAAAAGAGAAGCATTTGTGTAGTCACAGGTGGGCAGGAGAGTTGCCTACTTGTATTTTTAAATCATCATGGCTGGTGTCCTGTTTATAGGCATTGTTGCCTTCACTTGTGCCTGCTCATACACTGTTTTGTTTTTTTTACCGTGTTGCCTTTCCTATGGGTGGACCTCCTAACTTGTCTTCTCCCGGGCACTGGAATTCAGATTCCAGGGACTGTCCTCACTTTCACTCCGTGGCCTTCATCTCCAAGGCTCAGGGCTGCCTCGTCAGCCACGACCCTCCTGTCTTCTCCTCTCTGCTATCCCAGGCTCACCGGAGATCTGCTATTGGGAAATCCAATGCCCATCTCTATTCCTTCCCTAGTTGGCCTCTCAGTACCACCTGACAGAGATGATCTCTCCTAATTGTCTCTTGGCTTCAGAGATGGCTCTTTTACTGCTTCAGTGGCCAGCTGCTCCTTCTTGATCTCTTAGAGTTTTGGTTATTCCCCTCTCCCTCACTTCTATGTGAGGGCCCCATAGATGTCCTTGAACCTCCTCTCTGTTTATACTCACTCTCTATGGATCTGACTAGTTTTGTTGCTTCAAATATTCTGCCGCTGCAGTCCCCAGATTTACATCTGGGACACCCCCCCACCATTCCAAACTTATATACCAACCATCTCCCTGACATCTCCTTTTGAACATACATGGAGACCTCGAACTGACACAGCCATAACCAAACCCTGTCTCTTAGCCAAGCCCATGTCGGTAAGTGGTCCTTCAATTCTTCCGGTTGCTTAGGCCCCAGACTCAGAAGGCACCCCTGACTCCCTTCTCTCACAGCCTGCATGCATTCCACCAACAAATCCTATGAGCTCCAGATGCAAAACACATCTAGAGTACAACTACTTTTCCCCTTTTCCTTCCTACTTCTGCTCAAATTGTCACTTCCTCCCTAAATATCCATAATGGGACCCCCATCAACCTTCACTAACCAGTCCACTTTTACTGTTTTTTTTTCTGTATCCCTATCAAGCTTGGCCTACATTAACTTTCTTTACTGGCAGGCCTCTCCATTAAATTTTAAGCATCAGAGGAGCAGGGGTTTTGTCTGGTTCACTGCTTTGTACCCTTAGTGCCCATAACACCTCCTAGCATGTAAGTCTTCAAAAAGTAGCTGCTGAGTGTATATTACGAATGTTACTTGTTCATCTTAGATGTTGTAGGTACTGTTTCCTTCTTTTCACCTTTTAGCTTTGATGTGGTGTTTGTATATGATATTAAAAGTGACATTTTTAAAAGCTTTTTACCTCAATATCATAAATATATTCTCTTTAGTAAAACTTTTGTAATTTTCTTATTTAGCTCTTTTAGTCCATTTGGAAATGTGTGGTAGACTACCAAAGGCTGGGAATTTTTTTTATCTCCCTCCAAAGACTGGATAACCATCCCAAGAACACATAACAGAACAGACATCCTGTTACTGATCATTTGAAATAGGGTTTGATTGATTTGTTGTCTTATTTCTGAACTTCCTATTCTGCTCATTTGATCTAGTGATTTCCATTTAGTATCACACTTTTCATTATCATGGCTTTATTGTAATATCTGGTAGAACAGCTCTTTTAAGTCTTCCCTTTCAAAAATTTCTGGCTATTCTGATTTATTCTTCAAGAAGCATTTTTAATCATTAATCATATTAATAACTGCCCTGTTTGGTGGCTGCTACTATTGTTACTGATGTTAAGACTGAGAGAGTAGAGTCAGGAGGGAGTACAGAGCCCCAAGCTCAAGGCTGACCACCCTCTGGTGGTGCAGCCTCTGGGCTGCACACCACACATGGGTGCCCGTCTGGCTATCTCCTCTTTTGAACAACAAGACAATTGGAGGAGTGAAACTATTCCAAGGTTCAGGCCTCCTGGAAGAAACCCCACTTTCTGAAGAACTACTACCCAAACATCCACTGACAGTTGCCGAGGGGGGTAGGAGCTGGGGTGATTTTTTACCTGAAGTTACAGTTCTAAAACTCAGATCCACCCTGGCAGGAGCAAGGGGCTTGCTGGTCACCTCAAAGCAATTTTCATGTTTCGTAGTTTCCTTCCAGGCAGTCAACTTCTTTCAGAGACCTATGGGGGTGGGGGGAGCCACAGGAACAGAAAACCCAGACAGGTCACTCTGGGGTTAATAACTTTAACAGCATGGGATTAGCTAAGGGTGAAGGGGAAGCTGCTCATGATTCCCAGCTACAGGGAGTTACGTGGACAACACACAGTCCCATCCTTCAGCTGCCTGTTAAGCTAAACTGCAAACACATGGGGGAAACTGGCAGCTGTTTTCTGTAAAAAACAAAGCCTTTTAAGTTGCTAAACATGGACTGGGCATTTTCTTAACGAAGACGATGTTTTCTTTTTTCCTACTGAGGTAAACTGAGTGTACACTCAGTTGAGTACAAAGGACACACAACTGGTTACGCTTTGAGTCAGGCACAGTTTTCACTGCATTATTTAGAATAACACATCCAAATCAGAAAATAACTCTGAGGTAGAAACTACCGTTTCCCTTTTTACCAATGAGACTGAAGCAGAGCGAGGTGAAAAGACGGGCCGAGGTCACACAGCCTGAGTGTGGTGGGCGCCAGAAGCCAAGCCGCTGCTCACATCACCCGCTCTCTCAAGTGAGGTTCATTAACTAAACACAGACAACAAGGACCAACAGAAAACAAGTCTTCAGGAAATACTAAGTGAAAACAAAATGCCAGCAGGGCCAATACCTAAAAACTGTTGGGAGTGAGTTCAGATATTTAAAGAAAATGTCCATGGACCTCAAGTGTGTAGGGCGTGCACTCAGCGAAGGGAGAAACGGATCCTGAAAAGGCGCCCGCGTTAACAGAGTGGCATGTTGCCCTGCCCTCCCGGCATGGGTTTGATCTCTGCCCTTCTGCTCCCTGTGCTGGAGCCGCCACCCTCTCCATCCCTGCTCAGCCCCGAGACTGCAAGACTCAGAACAAATGGGGCTTTCCCGACCCTTCGGACCAAGAGCGTGGGTATTTCACATCCTATCAGCTAATTCTTGCAACTGCTGGGCTCCCTATCTTTGGATTCACCATAAAGGTCTTCTCCAAAGGAATATCTAGGAATACAATGGATTTTGTCCTCTGGAATTATTCCTCTATGCAGTAGGGTTCAGGAACCTTCGCTGTCTGGCTCTGATAGCCTCATTCTGAACATGTGCAAATAGGTGACTGGGAATTTTGTCCCTAAGTCTCAAGCGACACAGCAGCAGCAGCAGCATCAGTGATGAACACAGTCCCCAGTGGAGTGCTGCCGGAGGGAGGCTTGACACACGATTCCATCTAAATCGTACTCTAGGCTCCCAAATCAGCAGCTCACACTCCACCCTGGGCCTTCTCCCCCGCCCCCACCTCCCTGCACCCTAGAGCTCCCACATGGTCCTCTGATGGATGGGCCCAGCCACTTCCCTCCATTGCTGGTCGTTACCTCCATCCAGGCCTGTTCCTTCCAGACTCGCTTCGCTCTTTCCTCACTGTGGTCTGAGACAGGACACCTCTTGCCTAAAACACTGCAGTGGCTTCACTGCTCTGCCCCAAGCCTTCCAGAAAAAACCCAAATTCCCTAGCAGGACATGCCAGGACTCCATAACGGGCTTGCCTACTTTCCAGCCCAAACTCATCTCCTACCCAAGACGCCAGCTGGCCTGAAATAATTGCTTTCCCAGGAGCACATGGTCTCAGTTGCACCCACTTGTGTTGTAGGTGTGGGTGGCTCCCTTACTTCAAGGGTCCTCAGGTGCTGCCTACTCTCCTCGGAGGCTGAGTGTTCTCCCTTTAGCGTACGCCCCCCCCCCGCCCCCCCTCCGTGATCCCATGGATAGGCATCTCCCAGCACCACCCCTCACTTCAGGTGTTCTCAATCAATGATAAACAAATTCAAATCCCTTCTCTTTCCCTCCCTTTCTTGACACATTAGGTTCAAAGTTTAACGTAGCAAATGCCACATGAAGTTTCTCACTTTCCCAATACTCATAATTACTTTATAGACATACACGTTAATGCAGATTTGTGCACTATATTTTGCAAATCGGTCATGAGAAGGCCTTTCTTGGACACTCAGACAAGGCAAGGAAGCTGAACCTGCTAGGACACTCAATTATTTGTGGAAAACAGTTTTCTCTCTAAGAAGGTGCACTTAGATGTGAAAAAAATAAAAGAAAAACTCTTTCTGTGCTAAGTACTTCCAAGAGTCTGGAGCCAAGGGAGGCGTCTCAGGAGATGGAAGGTATCTGTGAGAGAGACGCTTGCTAGGGTGGGCTCAGTGCCCACTTCTAAGCTAGAGATTTCCAAAGGCAGGAGGGAGGGTCACTGGATGTCCAGAAAAAGGCCACGAGGAGTCTTGTGCAGACTGACTGGGAAAAACTGGGGCACCGCCAACTCCCTCCCCTGTGCCTCTCTCAGGAGCTCTGCACAAAAGGCAAAGTCACAGCACGGGGGCCTTGCAGAGGTGCCTCAGCAGCCAAGAAGGGCAAGAGCGTCATTCAGGGATCGGCACCAAAAGGAGACACAGCTGCTGCTCTACGTAGAGCAGGGCCAACCTGAGCACCCTTTAGGAAGCCCTCGCTCCCCACCTAAAGGAAGACCGTAGCCATGACCACCAACCGCAGACCAGGTTTCTCTGCTTTCCTTCCCCGCGGCCCCAGGGCCCCAGAAGAGAAAGGGGAGCGTGTAGATTGTACGAAGATTCAAACCACTGGCTGGCCTGCCTGTGGGGAACACCTGCAGGCTGCCCGTGGCAGGCGCGGCCATGGAACTTGCTTTGGCCATTCAATGTGAGTGGAAGGGATAGTGCAGCTTCTTCTGAACAGAACCGGTACCATGTGTTCCTGCCTGTGCCGAGACCAGTGATTTCCTGGAGAGAAAAAGGGGCCTCCTTTAGCCAAGGTCTTGGGTAGATAGCGGCGTGACAAAGACATGAACCTTTGCTGCTGCAAGTCATGGAGATGGGACGTCGCTTTTCACTGGGGTGACCAGCTCTTCTGCTTGACTGCAACCTTCCCATTTTAGCACCGGAAGCCCTGCACCCCGGGAAAGCCCTTTGCCTCAGATAAACCTGGTGGTCAGTCACCTCGTTCTGACCGCTGCATCGCTCCTCCTAGGCTGACTGATAGAGAGGAGGAAGTGAAGACTAGGACCCCATAGTCGCTGACTGTGCCTGACCAAAGAGCAGGGATGGGAACAGTTGTGTTCACACACTAACTACCCATTAAATGGGATCGTTACCCAAAGATTCTCCCACGCAAGGAACTAAGAACTGAAGAGGCAAATTACCTTGCTTAAGATGATGCAGTAAAGAAGGGGAGACTGAAACCCAGATGCATCTGGCTCCTGCTGGTTCTAACAACCATAACACTGCCACGCCTGCCTCCAAAACCACTTCCACAAAGTAAAATATAAACCCCCAACACCAAGTATTCCTGGGGGAGGGAGGAGGGGTAATCCCGGTTCAGGAAACCCACAGAAACTGGGCCCACAGGCTGTCTCTGGGCTTCCTGGCAGCCAGGGCGGGGTTCCCCCAAGGGCACAGGCTAGGAAGGGTGCTTGTGCATGGGAACAGAGGGGAGAAGAGGGGCGCGGGTCAGGGGAGGGTCTCTCTGCAGGTCCTGAGTAATACTGTGCTGAATGACTCTCGGGAAACAAGCTTTATGAAAGAACAGAGGGTGTCCCCCTTTTAAAATGGACCCCAATGAAAGCCTATCACCCTCCCGCCCCCATCCTCCAGTGTGACAGCTGAATGGAGTTCTGTTAAGAGCATTGTGCCACCCCAGGATGTCCCTGAGGCAGTGGCTTCGTATGAAATTTAATAAAAGGGTTAGGCTCAGGAGATATGGACAATAGTGAATCAACACCCTTAGCTACCCGCCTAGCCTCTATAGGCTATTGATCAACTTCCCCACAAAACCCAGAACCTGCCAAGAGGGGCCCTGGAAAGCCCCCTCTGCATGCCTGCAACCTTCGAGGCGCTGGTCCTGGGTATACCACCTGATCTGGAAGGACTTTCTTCCCCTGCCCAGAAAGCCACAACCCCTGCTCCAGTGCTCCACTACGTGGTGCTGGTGCCAAGCTCCAGTTCTGCTAAGGGGATGAATGTGGAATTGCTCTGGTCTGTTCGGAGGATAATGGCCTTTAAGCAGAGGCAAGCGGCTGATGGGGCCCTCTTCCCTCTGCAAGTGTCCCCATCCATGATTACTCAGGCAGTCCGGGGGAGTTTGGTCGCCTTGCTTTGCAACAGATGGATTTAGAGAATCCACCGAGTGAGACCAGGTGCCTTGAACCTGAGGTAACAGGTGTTTGCCCAGTATGATTCAGCAAGCATTTCCCTAGCATCTTGCAGAGGTCAGGGCACTGGAGACATAGGGATCAGCAGTCCTTGTGGTCCAGATTCCTTCATCTAGTTGGAAAGTCAAATGATTAAATAAGGACACGACGGCATGACTACTGTAATAGGCAGGAACATGCTTATAGTTGTGCCAGCAGCACCTACTACAACTCCAGGATGTGCTTTTGCATTTCTAAGTGGCAGAGATTTCTGGAGTCATTACCACAGACTTCCGGCAGGTGGCAGTCAAGTGTCTCGAGGAAGCAGAGTTTTTCTAGCTGTGGGGCATATGTAAAGTACAGGAAGGAGCAGAACAGAGAAAATGATTAGCTTATTGGCTGATGACAGAGAGAGAGAGAGAGAGAGAGAGAGAGAGAGAGAGAAGGAGGGAGAGGCAGAGAGAGGGAGGGAGAGGCAGAGAGAGGGAGGGAGGGAGAGAGGGAAAGAGAGAGAGAGAATATGAATGGTAATGGAAGGAGAAGGGACCAGGGAGGAGGTGATATTTGAATTAAATGTGGGGGGGTGAGGGGGAGGCAGGATGTTTTGAGCGGAGGAGAGCAGTGTTTGCAGTGGACTAGGAGGAATAGGCCTGTTTTGGTCACTTGTGTATCCAATCCTATTGATAGCTCTGGCTGCTTGGGGATCCCAACGTCAAATATAAATCAAGGAGATTACATTTGGAACTACCTGGAGGCCAGTGCAGAGGGTCTCATAGGAGCAGATTTGTGAATCCTGGG